CAGACCAAGAACTGCTCATTGGTTTGGAAAAAAACAGACTCCCAGTATTTACATTAATTTATATTTATATTTAATTAGTATTAATGGGTCCTAATGACATGGCCATATTTTAATGAACTGAAGATGCCTTTGTGGTACAAACATGACATGCTTACCCATATCCAGTTCTCCTCTCCTTTGTGAGACTTGGAAGGATTAAACTTCCTAGCTTCCTTTGCAGTTGGGCAGAGCCATGTGACTAATTCTAGCCAATGGACTAGAGGAAAAAGTGACATGTCACTGTAAGATTGTAGCATTTAATTGCTGATGGGAGATCCTCCAGGGCTCTATCTTCCTCTAGAATAGTGACTGTGGAAGCACAGTTGATACGGAAGCGCAGTACCAAGCCATCGCATGGAGGATAGTTGCTGTGGAGAATCATGCAGATCTTCACCTGACTTTGTTTGAGTCCCTGAGGTTTTCTGATGATTTGTTATAGAAGTACAACCCAATGGAGCCTAACACACCATTGCTTGGGAAAAGTACTGCCAGGCGCGGTGGCTCACGCCTGTAATCCCAGCACTTTGGGAGGCTGAGGCAGGCAGATCATGAGGTCAGGAGATCAAGACCATCCTGACTAACAGGGTGAAACCCTGTGTCTACCAAAAATACAAAAAATTATCTGGGTGTGGTGGCACGTGCCTGTAATCCCAGCTACTTGGGAGGCTGAGGCAGGAGAACTGCTTGAACCCAGGAGGTAGAGATTGCGGTGAGCCAAGATCGTGCCACTGCACTCCAGCCTGGATGACAGAGCAAGACTCTGTCTCAAAAAAAAAAAAAAAAAAAGTACTGATATTTAATATACCAATGAGAAATACAGATGCCATTTATAATTGTAAGAGTTCAGAGTTCAGTGTAAGATGTATTACAATCTTATAGATGTTAAAATGGGAAAAAGTGGGCCTTAGATTAGATAAAACACAGATTGTTAAAGAAATTCAGAAAAGCAGATTAACATAGTGTCAAGAGCTCCAAACCTAGAGTTGGACAGAAAGTTATGGATTCAAATCCCAATACTTAATAGCTTTTTTTCCTCTCTCTCTTTTTGAGATGGAGTCTTGCTCTGTCGCTCAGGCTGGAGTGCAACGGCACAGTCTAGGCTCACTGCAACCTCCACCTCCCGGGGTTCGAGTGATTCTCCCGCCTCAGCCTCCCGAGTAGCTAGGACTATAGGCACGTGCCACCACACCCAGCTTATTTTTGTATTTTTAGTAGAGATGGGGTTTCACCATGTTGGCCAGGCTGGTTTCAAACCCTGACCTCAAATGATCTGTCTGTCTTATCCTCCCAAAGTGCTGGGATTACAGGCCTGAGCCACCACGCCCGGCCAATAGCTTTTCTCTTAATAGCTTATACAAACCTTAGTTTCCTCATCTGTGAAATGGGGGCATAATAGTAGAAACAGCCTCATAGAGTTTTGTGATTATTAAATGAAGATAATTACTATAATGTATTCAGCATAGTAATTATTTCACATATTTTAATCCCCATATTTGGTTAAATCACAGAGCTTTTCAAGATAAACATTAATTTCAAACAATAATACAGGAAAACTTTTTAAGTTTGTTATTATGTCATACTAATCAATCAGCTAGTGTTTATTAATTCCTCACCAGGCATGAGGACTAGGTCTTTGAGTTAAGTGTTCTTGGAGACAACAAAGAAACAAATGTGGAGGTTGGAGGCCTGAGGCAAACCACCCTGGGGTCTTCCCATCCTCTCTCTAATGTGTTTTCTAGGTGAATCAGGGTAGAATGATCATCAAGACTAGCCTTGAAGAGCAAAAGAAGTCACAAAATTGTACCTGAGGAATGTATGAAAGATCAGTCAGTCCTGTACCCATCTTGATGACTAGCAGGGGTAATAGAGGGTAACTTGAGGATTAACTGCATGTCTGGAGCCCTGGGTGATACGTGTGGGTATATATATAGAGAGAGAGAAAGCACGCAGGAGAGTGCTAGTGGTTGGGGAGCAAAAGGATACATCACTGGAGCAGGAGTGGGGCTCTTCTGTAATGCATATAATGTATTGTTCCTACCTGTGTAGTTATACTCTTGTGGATTATGAAGTTTTTCAGGGAACATTATTTAACTCATGGTATATCTAAATTCGTAAAGCATCATCTGTTGTTATAATTGTCTTCATCTACAGTACATGTGAAGAAACCTAGGGTCATTAAAAGGTGTAACAATCATCATTACTTCTGAAGTTCATTCTAGACTAAAAGTTTTCCTCATATATACTTTATGAGCCTTCTTTCTGTCACCAAAGATGTGCATTGTGGATTTCAATACAATGTTCTCACCTCAGTTTTCTGAAGGACATATGCTTGTGAAGGAACAGGTGACTGTTTAAGATCATTATTTTTATTAAATGCCTGAACCATCACAGAGTAAGTAATTTTCTTTAAAGGAAGTATAGCTGCCTCTAAATATAACTCTGGGCTACAGTTCACCTTTTCTGTTTATTTTATTCTTAACTTGTGAAACTGTATCTTAGGACTTGGGGTATATAACTTGTTATTTGATACCAGCTGCTCAACAGTGAATCAATTGTAATGCTCCTGGCACCAAAGGAAACAGAGGGGGCTTAAATATGTTTACAGAAGACAAAAGGCTTATTTTTTGCGTAGTTTACAACATATGTTTCCACAGTTTTAAATATTAAAAAGCATCCCCCCAAAGTTTTTTCACTATTTCCCTCATTAAAGACTAACAGGATCAAACAGAGAAAACAACTCTACAACCCACATATTATTTATCAGATGTTTTGGATGAAATTCAGATTTAAAAAACCAAAAGGCTCTCTCTTCCTCTCCCCCTCCCAGCAAGAGCATTAGGGAGATACTCCCCACTGCAAAATAGACCCACTCACACACTGGCGAATGTTGCACTATCATTCCAGGAGCAGGGGGAAAGTTGCTGCGACAGCCTTAGGCTCCTCTCCGCGTTATTGGGTCGTCGTAGGTGCGCTGTGGGCTGCTGCGGGGTTTGAGACCCGGCCAGAGGACTCGCGGCTCACGACCTGAGTGTGTACCTGGATAAGTTCTCAGAGGCTACTGGGAACATTGCAAATACAGGACGCCTATACTGCAAAGCTCTCCCTAAAACCTCATCAGTCCTCCTCTCTTGACTCTTCGTCGTCCCAGGAATTTTAACTTTTCCTCGGCGCAAGTGTTTCTCGTGCGGACCCCTTGCAGGCGCAAAGCCTGGCTCGCTCTAGCCTCCTGGCTTGCCCAGGATCCAGGCAGCCACGCGGAGCATGGTGCAGCTTCCCCTCGCTTCCCCCCGCGACGGTGAAGAGAAGAAATCAGGAGGGAGGAGGTACTCAGCCCTCCTGGGTGCACTCCCAGATGTTTTTAAGTTGGCCTTTATGAAAAACAAAATGATGCTAAAATGCAAAATAGGCAACGTGGAGGTACTCAGCTCTCCTGCGTACACGCCCAAATATCTCTAATTTGACGTTTACGAAACAGTGCTAAAATGCAAATCAGGCTTTGTAATACCCAGAATGAGCCTTGTTTGACAGGCCAAACTGAGATTTAATGGAAAGCTTACTCATATCCCCACACGAAATTCATTCTTTTAGGAACTTAAAAAAAAATTGTGTAATTTTAAGTTCCACCACTGTCATAACGAACACTCCACAGTAACACGCAGTGGAACAATGGACACCCCCCATATCGCATTGTGTCAGGTAATTATGAAGTGTCGCGGCGCGGGAAAGAGAAGCTGGGAACGTCAATTTGTCCTCCGCAGCGTGTGGGAGCGCTCAGAACCGCGCGTCTCCCAGAAACATCATCCAACCGTCACCCCCAATGCCTCAACCCAGGGACAGGGACAGACTCAATCAGACCTCGTCCCCAGGCGTGGCAGGAGAGGGCCAAAGAGAGGACGTGTGAGCGCAGAGGAGCGAGCACCGCTCCATGGAGGGCAGGCGCTAGCTGGGAAGTCGGGAGGAGAAAGTGCAACCGGGCGGGGAGGGGAGGATCCCACCGGGGCGTGGCGAGGGCGCCCGGACTCCGGGTGAGCGGGACCCTACGCGGGACCGTGTTCTCCCAGAAGCTCCCACTCAGCCCAACCTTTTGGGCGAAACCCAGGGCAGCCAGATAAGGGTGCAGGCGGGGTCACGCGTAAAGCTGTTGCTTTGAAGCAGAGCATAAGTGAGAAAGAGATAAAGAGAGAAGGAACAAGGGGAAAAAGAAATCAAGGGGCTGAAGGCCGAGATGTCCTACTTCTAAGTGGTTCTTTGCGAGGCAAAAGCTTCATTGCCAGCGCAGTCCGAGGCAGCGCCGCGTGGAGGACCGGCCGGGTCGGGCACGGGGACCTCTCCAAGGGGTCTCCAGCCTCCGCGCACTCTGCGGTGGCCCCCGGAGGGGGAAACTCTATCCTGGCAGCTCAGTGGGGGGAAGCGCGTCGGGGCTGTGGGTTCCTTCCCCCGAGACCCCAGCGCTGCACCCTCGAGGCGGCAGGCTCAGTCAACCCTCCCCGGGGGACGGCGGCCCTCTAGCCAGGCGACCTCAGGTCTCGCGCCCTCCCACCGCTCAACCTCCTCGATTCACCCCCATTCATTCTTCCTCAGCGGCTCCTAGGACGGGCTCAAAAACCAACTCCACACGCAACCCAGCCCACGTCGCGGAGCTGAGGAGCAGGGCTGGGTTCGGAGCGGGCGCCGGCGCCCCCGGCGCGTGGCTGGGAGTTAGCGGCCGCGGGGGGCGCCGCGAGCCGCCCGTGGCCGCCGCGGATGAACAGGAGGCCGCGAGCAGCCCCCGAAGCCGCGCAGCATCCGCGTATCCAGTGACGGTGGAAGCCACGCCCGCTCGAGAGCCTGGGGGCTGTCCTCGCCCCCCCACCTTTCCCCTCCCTCCGACCCCCTCCCGGCCGCGCTCCCTCCCCTCCTCCCGCGCCAGCCCCCGGCCCGCCCCCGGCTCGGCTCGCGGGAGGCGCTGGGCGCCGGGGCTGGCGCGCTCTCCCGGGCTCACACACAGCCGCGCACGCACGCCCGGGGCCGCTCTCCGCGCCGGCCCTCGCTCCCCGCGCCCATGCCGACGGACAGAGCGACGGAAGATGGCTGACGACTCCACGGGGCCCCGAGGATGCGGCCCGGCGGCGGCGGCGGCGGGAGCGGCAGCGGCAGCGAGGGCGGCAGGGGCAGCGGCAGCAGCGGCGGCGTTGGCGGCGGCGGCGGCGGCGGCGGCAGCAGGAGCCGGAGCGGCGGCGGCTGCATCCCCGAGACTCTTCGAACTACCCTTCCCCGTGACAGCCACTGACGTCCTCCGCCGCTAGAAGAGACCCCGCTTCTCGGCGCCCGCCCGCCCTCCCCCTCGCGGCCCGGCCCGGCCCCGCCAGCACCGCTACCTCCGCCAGCCTCGCCACCATCAGCACCACCTCCACCGCCGCCGCCGCCGCCGCCACCACCACCACCACCGCCGGCGGCGGCAGCAGCCATTTCATCTCCACAGAAACCAGACACAAAAACATGGCAGAAATGGAGAAAGAAGGGAGACCTCCGGAAAATAAACGGAGCAGGAAGCCGGCTCACCCAGTGAAAAGGGAGATCAATGAGGAGATGAAGGTATTTTTGGATCTCGGGGGCCAGGGAGACTGACTTCTTACTTGCGCCCGCTCCCCGTGGGCCGTGGTATGGATCTGGGGGGTACCGGGGCGCGCTTGTCAGTTTCTGTAGGATGCCCAGAACGGCTCCGCGCCTCCAGGTGTAAAGCAGAGGCCAACTCGCGGGCTGCATCCCCGAAATTGTTGCCAACCTCAGATTTGATGAGGGGGGACCACATACTATTTAACCTTACGAACCCCAGGTTGGCACTGGCGCGTTTCAGAGCGAGGGCACCGGGGACCCGAGCGGCGGTGGGCAGGGGAAGAGGCTTTCCCAGTGGACGGTGCAGTTTCTCCCCCGCTTTTTGGGAATCATTCTCAGGTTCCCTCCAAAGTTAGGAGCCACCTGGCCGGGGCACCCCGGAGAGAGCTCTATTCCACCCCTCTCCCCTAGCTCACCCTCCTTCTCCTCAATCCCGCTTCCCCCCAACCAACCAGCTGCGACGGCGTGAAGAGCCCGTCAGTGCCCGGCGAGCTGCGGCCCGAGAGGCGCGGGTCTGGGCACGGTCCTGACCGCTCGCCTCGCCCACCCCCGCCCGCTCCTCTCCACTGGCAGCCTCCGCCTCTCGCTCGCCTCTGCCTGCCTCACTTCCCAGCGAAGCAGACCCCGGCCAGCCCCGCTGGAGGACAGCTGTCTGAGGGCGGCCTTTGCAGGGCGCCTGCCCATTGTTCGCAAAGGCCGGCCCGGAGTCCTCTCGGCGAGGCCGGGCTCCCCGCCAGGCCAGCGGTGCACCAGAGGTGGAGAGCGCAGTAGCCTGGCGCTCCAGCTGTTCGCGTTAGAGCGATTGCACAAGAGCACTGCTCGGCTCCGGACCCTCTCGTTGCCCCCCAGCCCCTTATTTTCCATGAAGTTGCGGCTTTTGCCTGGGTGAGGGTTTTATTCTGTATTGATTTCACGAGTCTCTATTGATTTAAAACAATTTATTTTTCTGCGAGCCATCAAAAAGTAGCAGGTTTGCATTTTGCGGTCTTCTTGGTGTTCCCCATCTTCTGCATGAAATCCTTAATACTACCAGGTGGCTAAATACTACTACTTGGCCAGTTTTGGTTCAGTTTGTATTTAAAAGACAAACTGGATGAAAATGGTATGCAAGTAAGTCAAATTTATTGAGCTTTGACGCTTTCTTCATTAGAACAAACATTTTCTATCATAGCTCACGCTTAGCAGGGGACGCATAGATATACATCATATATGTATGTGTACCTAGGTGCATATGCTTAGCTTTACTTTCCTCTCGGAAATGTCAGAAGCAACCTAAATATCAGAATTAGGGGTTTTATTACTGGATAAGGAACTTAGTACCTGGAAGCTAGAGGTGCAGCATGAGTCCAACGGAGAGTTAAGGGAGATTTGCCTTGAAAATCAATACCATTTCTTATGATGGAAACCACCGTTGATTCCAATGATGGACAGTTATATATATTTTTAAGACCAGTAGAAGTTGTTGTTTTTTGATAGGAACAAAATTTAAACAGTCCATAATAACCATCCTTCTTCACTTACCCTTGCCTACTGTCCTGCATTTCCAGATTACTTTTGCATTTCATTTTAGGTTGGGGGTGGGGAAAGGGGAGAGAGGTGAAAGCCACTAGGAAATCGCAACCAGCTCTGGCCCTTTAAAACACTGCCTAATGTGATGTATATGGATGGCAGCTTTTAAGTTTCATAGGTTCTAGAATTACAAATTAGCTAATTTTAATCAAAACATGTGAAATGTTATCCCGGCTGGATATAAAGGCTGACTGTGCTCGATGCTTGGGGCTCGCGTTGTTGATTTTGGCTGCAGGCGTACTCCGTGGTTTGGGAGATAGTTGTCCTTCTACAGTATAACAGATGTTTGTCTGAACTGGTGAGGAAGAAACAAAAACAACATTGTGTGAAGGGGAAAAATTACACAATTTTTAGCCGATGCTGCAGGACTAAGTATGGAATTAACCTTGGTGCACAGAAATTTCCTCTTTTTAAAATGTTATTTTCCTTCCAAATCACCACCCACTATTTGAAGTTTTAATCCTCACCCTTTCAATCCAGAGTAGTATTAAATAAGAAGTTTTACACAGCAAATAATTCAATTGTCTGTAGGATCAGTATTTTCTCTCTGCTTTGGACCAAAGTAAAATACCCCTAACCAAAATTTTTAGTCATGTTCAAGTATACCATGCCCGAGATCTAGTGGAATTGTTTAGGTGCATTCTTCTAATATAACAGCACCAAAAGTCCTCACTTAAAAAGTGGTTTCTCAAAGTCAAAAGGTGGAAGGGTTATTTTGAACTCCTTAATATCTTTCTGTTTTTAATATTAATAATCACATCAACAAAACCCCTCCCCAAACATCATGATACTATTACTCCTCTAGCTCCCTGAACCTAAGTGTAGAGTAACATAACAAGTTGGTTGCCCTGTATATAGTTGTGTGCAACAAAATGTCACCGAGAACACAATGTGGCCTTGTGCAGCTTCATATCGGTGCCGCTGGAGCTGCCTGGCTGTGTTTGCCTTCATCTGAACGGCTTTCATCTGGACCAGTGTAAACTAAGCCCTGGTAAGTAATCACTGCCCGGCAGAAAGAAAGGAATGTATACAGCTAGCGTGGCCTAAGCTGTAAAAACGGAAACCTGAGCCCCCACCTCGGATCACATATCAAGGCTTGAAGGTAGGGGAAATGAAAGGGGGAAAGAGGAGAGAGCAAATGGAAAAGTCAGCCTGGGAAGTGGAGGATCAGGAGGAGGCCCTCCTTAGGGAGATTTGGCTCAGGGATTAGGGAATTTTATCGTGGTGTACAGTGACCTACTCAGGTTTCAACACTGGTTGGATTGAGTTGCTTCTCTGTGAGCTGAAAGAAAAAGGACTGGTGTGTATGTGATTTTTTTCCCCCCTTCGGGTAATAGAAAGGACATTGGTACAAGTGTCTATTTTAGGTACAGCAAATGCAGGGCACTGAGAATGAGCAACAAACTTGCCTCATCATAGAGACTTCCTTCAAGATTTCCTAATTGAGATAGTCACATATTTATTTTAAAATGGCTGGAGAAGACAAACTGGCTGAGGTTTAGCTGACACCAGTAATGGCATCGAAGAATGTCTTCATGTGGCTGAGAGCTAATGCTGGTTGCTGTTTCACTAGATCAGATATTGAGTTACATTTTCGTTATCACTGGTTTAATGTACATGGCAGTTGTAACAAATTTAAATTTGATACAATATAATTTTGTGTATGAAAAGTACATGACTTGGCATTGCTTGCTTGTAGTGTACTCCCTGAAAATATCTTCAAGTAGAAATGTTTGTCTCATTATGACCTTTACAATGTTTCTTTATCTTTCCTTTTCTTCTTCCCTTATCCTGGTTTTTCCTGATTAAAAAGATTGGTTGTACTAATGTACTTACAATTAGTATGCCTTATTTAATTAGTGGCTAGTAGAGAGAATTTTAAAAAATCAGACAGCAATGCAGTGTATATGTTTCTAAAGTGAATATCGTGATTGTATCTAATATAATATGTCTCAGGTATACTGTTAGCTCACATGTATCATAATAAATGAATGTCAGGAGGGAATTCTGACATATGGGAAGGTTAATTAGTTTCAGGAGTTCATCCAGAGCATAGTAGATATAATATAGAAACTAACTTCTACTAGTGGATATGTAAGCGTAAATATATGTATAAGGTAAATATTGTTGCACTTAAGGATATGTGTTTTGGCACATAGATCTTTTGTGATCAGTAGCTACCAAACAACAATACAACTCAAAATATCCAAACTGTGAGTAGAGATTATGAGTCCAATTTTTGTCCTTTAAAATTCTTTGACAAAACCAGCATGATTAGATCAAGGATTCTGTGCTGGAAACTTTCCTAAACAAACCATAATTAATGCACTTACAATGTTTAACTTCTTTATCAATTGCTAAACTACAGGAGAATCTGTGTTAAATGTCAGAGATGCTTCTTTGTTGAAGAAGTTTTCTGTCTATAAATATTCTCAGTAAGTAATTTGTACCTAAAATTACGCTTCAGTCCTGATGCCTACAATTTGAGTCAGGCACATCTGTTAGAGTTTAGTAGTAAACTTACCACAAGATTTTCTAGTTTGTTTTCTGATGGTCTCGATTTGGCATTAAAAATAACCTGTGTCAATTGCATAGACAATAAAGCAAGTTGCAGAGCCGAGCTGGTGAGATAAATAGCTTGATTTTAAGAGAGAGAGAGAAATCAGAGCGTGGATTGGAAAAGTCAGCATGTTTAAGTTTGAAATTGGCTCATTATTAAAACAGGTATATTTTAAGTTTTGCTGTTGAAACTCTATCCTGGTGTCAGAAGCATAATTCTCAGGAACTTAGAAAGTGAACTTAGGACCCCAGATCCCACTGTGGCATTCACAAATTATGTTAGACTCTCCCTCTAAGCAGTGGCCTCAGGTGTGCCACGTGGCAGGGATGGGGACTAATGTTAGTGGGCATATAGCCCTGGCCTCTTGGGAGCAGGTATAAGATGTTCCTGAGCCTTCAGCCTTGCTCTCACTTGTTCTGCCAAAGACTTCAAGCTAAACCCGTAAAAGACTGTCCTGTGAGAGCTTGGAGGGTTATGTATTATGGTCTGTTCAAACCAGGGGTTTTCTGGGAAGAGTCTCTTTCTCCATCCATGAACTGGTGTGATGTACAGTAGAGCATCATTCTCTAAACTTACTTATACAACTCGCAGGTTCCAGAGACGAGGAAATGGAAAGGAACCACTCCACTTCCTCTTGAATCTGAAATAAACATTTGAACTAGAAGAAAATGAGTCTGACAGACTCATTCCCTTCTGCGTTTCCTGCCTCTGTGCTTGCCAAGCACTGCTCTGAGAAGCCAAGCCCTACTCTCCTTGTGTGAAAGACAGACTTACAGAAACCAAGAGGTAACAGAATTTTTAAAGGAAAGTAAAAAACAGGGCCTCAAAAAAGGGCAAATATTAGCGAGCA